GATTTCCAACTCAGGAACCAGATGAGCTAGGAAGCTGAATTTTTAGGAAGACATCCCATTCCCGCAAGCAATCCCGCAAATTTAAATCCAGCCTTCACTTTCATCTCGATCACACTTAGGGTAAAATGTAAGTTTTGGTCGCAAGGATCATTCCGACAATCTCTGCACATACCGAGCAGCAAGGCAGTAAACATTTTTAACAGTAAACGTCCATAAGAGGTTTACGTCTATCGTACCCAATACATTATCGTAAATTTACATTGTCATACCTATTTTTTTGGTATGAGCTACTACCTATTTGATATCTTATTTTATGCTGAATTTCTGCACGTTCCTAAAACTATTTTGCCACATCGTAAAGGAAGAATTGGATTAACGGTGAGCTTTGTTCCTGAAAATCAAGCACAAATTCAATTGTCAAGTTCAGGGTATATGGACAGCAGGAAATCGACGACTGACTTTTAATTAGAGGGGTTTTTCCATAACTGTAAAATTCCAAAAGAAAAGAAACAACCCACCTGTTTGGCCTCATTATTAACCGTTGTATCCACCACTGACGGAGAATTTTCTCTCGTTCCGAGACTGTTCTGATCATCCTGTGCCGAAAACAATGCAAGCATCGATTCGTCGATTCCTTTTTGACGTTTCGAATTCGGTGAAGCGTTGAAATTGCAGACGCCTTCATCACCCGCACCTGGCCGTTTCATTTCAAGGCATTTCTTTTCAAGCAGCAGTGTTCCAATACGATCAATCTGCGCACCAGCATTTTGCCGATACAATACTGAACCCGATTTATCCGTGTTCTTTGGCGATGGATGAGGCATTGCCTCTGCTGACCTGCAAGCACCTGCTTAAGAATTTCGGATATAGAAGTCTTCGAATCCTCGAATTCCAGAATTTCCTTTCACATCCATCCAACTTTCGCAAGAAACGTAATAGCAGCGCATCATGCAGGCATATTTGGCCATACATATCAGTGAAGATATCGGCTGCATACAAATCTAGTTCTAGGAGTCTTTCTGCTCTGAACAACTTTAGGCGACAGCTGAACGGGAGAGTACTACCTTTGCAGCGCGATCCCCTAAAATCTGGTAGTATTGAAGTGTGGTGGATTTAGTAAGGAGAGAGGGAGAAAACGTGGCCTGCGAGATGACAAGCCTTTCAAATAAAAACATCAAGCTGAGTGCGCTCGAAACTCGAATAGTAAAACTTGCCAACTATTTGTTGTTTATAAAGAAATAACACCAA